CGGTTGCTTTCGATACTGGCATGTACCGGACCGTAACTTCATGGATTATGGCCCCTGATGTACGAAAAATCACGTTTTTGGCTTGTGAACATTGTAGAGGTCACAATTTTTATCCGATTTGGTTTAAACTTGAAATGTATGCTTATAACCCAAAGATCTCGGTTCCTTTCGATATTCGTGCATATCGGAACGTAACTTACTGAATTATGGGCCCTGATTGTACGAAAAATCGCGTTTTTAGCTTGTGGACCCTATAGAGGTCATAATTTTTATCCGATTTAAAAAAAACCGTAATCCTATATCACCGTTACACCCTAAGGACGACTGGGTTCGAATTTCGTGAAAATCGGGCCAAAACTGACAGACAAAATGGCCGCCCTTCGTTCTCAAATAGCGTAAAAATGTGGTATATCAAGGTTGTGGACCCTATAGAGGTCACAACTTTTATCCGATTTTGTTGAAACTTGAAATGTAAGTTTATAACCCAAAGATCTTGGTTCCTTTCCTGAATTATGGTCCTTGATTGTAGGAAAAATCACTTTCGTTTTAGCTTATTTTCTATCCATCTCTCGAAAATGTGGGCGTATCCTGCCTGGCAGCCGCTGGTTTTCATTTTTTGTCCGACCAGCCCTTCGGGCGATCGCCCGATGGCCCAATCCGCCCCAAGACCCAAGGAAAGGGAAGGGGTGACACCAAGTGACGCAAATTTAATCTAAGCCACTGGCTTTATCCCCTAAATGTCAAACCCCATTTCATTTCCTGAGGAAATTAGAAGCAACTAATTAAGAAATGTTCAGAGTGGGCATACATTCTTTTCACCGTCGGTCCGCCTGTCAACGGATGAGTCCTATTGTTAGTCAGCATCTTCTAAAACTTTTAAATTCTTTTAAGTAAATTCCCTACTCATGGGGCAAATCATTTATTATACCAATGATAACAAAAAGACAGACTTTATACAACTGACTATAGGACAGCCTTTGATAGAGTACATTGTAGTTCACGACTCAATAATTTTTGTCCTATTAAAAATTGACCCACTAATCTGACGTCTATACCATCGAGGAGATTTTCTGATGGTTGCTCATCACCAGAAAATGTAGTACTATGTATAACACTGCAAATATAGTCTATCAAAAGTCTCTTGCACGCCATACATCTTATCTTAATACGGTATTCTTCACAACTAAAATATCACATTTGGAAATTCATGTACTTGTAATGCATATAATTTGTGTAGTAATTTTTCCAGATTAATTTTAATTATTTACCTTTTTTTCTTGGCCAGTCTATGTGGTATTTTGAACATAACAACTCATTTAAATGTTTTTTAAAATGCCACAAAGACTGTTTAAAACACTGTTTTATGGTTGAATTAATCTGAGCCAGTTTAGTACAGTCAGTTATTGTAGTTCCACGTGAATGCTTCAGATGATTGTAAAGTTGAGCTTCATAAAGATTTTATAAACAAAACTAAAGCGTGCAGTTCATTGATTTTCCTTAGAAAATATAAACAATAGCTTCAAACGTTGTCATAATAAACATCAATTCAATTCTGTGCCAACATTCATTCAGGTATGATATGGGTTATTAAGGACATAAACATTTAAATAGTATATCACGAATAAGAAACCTAATATAGAATTTTAGATAGAAAAATGATGGTTTGACACCAGAATCTGCCCACCACTAATGTCACACAATAATACTGCACTAGGTTATTTCGTAAGTGGTATTTAGCAGTGGTATGAAACAGTAGGGCTCCACAGAACACCCAGGAGGTTGGACAGACAGTCAGTGGCGGCGCCAGCCGTCGGTGATTGGAGGGGCAAAGCTGGGGCAAAGTCCAAGGTTAAGGGGACAAAGGCACGAGCTTCAACTAGGGGTAGGGGGCCTCCCCCAGAAAATTTTGAAAGATAGACAACGTTTCAAAATACTAATATCATGATGTAAAATTCCATATTTAATACACTTTTCAAATTACAAAGTAGGCCTACAATTTTTAAGATTTAAATAAGCTACTTTACTCCCAAACTCTCTTCGTTTCTTCTGGTTTCCGCTGTGCAGTTCCGCCCAATGTTTTTTTGCCGCCAAAGGAGTTGTTGGGGGCATAGTGCATGGATACATTAATATCAAAATAAATCCAATTCTAAGCATCTAGACATGTTCAAGTCACGATTTAAGGCACACATAATATTTGGTGAAAATAAACAGTAAAAGAATCCAGGTAAACTTCAAAGCGTACGATGGCTGAGTGGGCAAGACACTGGCTCGCTAGCCTGGAGGTCGTCGGTTTGCTCCCGGTGTTGGTCGCGAAAGTTCATCTTGATTTTCCGGCGTTGTATTTGACGGAGGGCCTGACAAGAACAGTAGTCTAGTCGTTTGGATGGGTAAAAAACCCAAGGCCCCGTTACACAATGGCGTGTACATAAAAGATCCCTTGGTAGTTGAGATTAGATTTAAGGGTAGGCCGCTGTATGGGCACAATTTTACTCATAGCACATTGTATGGCGTATGCCCATCTTCATTAGCCTAGTCGGAGCAGAATAGTAGGACGCTAAACCTCATTTCATTTCGAAGTTTTGTTTGCGCTCTACAAATTCTGTGTTGATTGACAGCGCCCCTAATCCCCCAGTTAGTTTTGCTCGCGTCGTTCAGTTTATCTGCGATATCAACTTTGGTCGTTCACTTGTCGCTACCCCTGTTCATGAAAAGCACTTTTTGAAAGCCTTAAAGTGTCCACTCATACTGGTGGTTCGCAAGTCACTTTCTGAATAGCTATCTTCGTCCTCCGCCCAAAGTTGCATCCGGCTCCCGTGACAGTATGCTGATGTTTTCGCTGCCTGGCTATAATTTCTCTTTACATTGTCTTGACACTTAACCAGTATTTATTGTTCAAAGGGTTGAATGTATCTCATTTTGTACCAAACCCAGAAGATAGATAACGTAAAATATTTTGAAGCATATTTGCACAGGTTCCTATGATATAGCTGGCCGAGTGGTCTAAAGTAAAGCGTGTGCTGTAGATCCGGAATCTGTTTCGGGCCAATGTTAGTTCTAACAAGCATATAGCCGTACGAGCAAAATAAAGTGCCCGAAATCTAATAAAACACTAATTTTACTTGTGGTATTTTAATAGAATACCATGAATTTGTACTGAATTGACTACGGATTAAAACGTTTTGTCTGGGGCCACTCTATATTTGTGCGACATTTTTCGGGCATCGATTATTGGTGAATGCAGTTGCAACAGTCCAATTGGAGAGTTGGAATTCAGGTCGGCGTAGAGTGGGATTTCGGTTGTAAAACGATTGGAAACTTTGAATAGCAGAAAAGCGGCAGTTAGATTTTCAAAATATTCTCGAGGAGCGCGAGGCCCCATTCCCCGCGACGATTGATTGGTTGTTTGGGATTCAGGTTAACCACCTAATAGTCCAGGAGGACTGCATTGCACGCAAAACAAAATCTACAAGTTAAACCTGCGGACAAGACAGAATATAGACATTGCAAAAAATGAACAAATTTTAATATCGAATCAAAGAGAGAGAGAAATGGGGTTTAACGTCCACTGGACACAGACTAGGTCATTTCGGGACTAACATGGTTTAATTTTATTTCAATAATTCGCTTGCGCGTAGGGGTCTTTAGCAGTGGGGGGAAACCCGGAGAAAACCCACGAGGCTGGACAAACAACCCTACTCCTTATCACGTACAACCGAGGATTCGAAACCACGCCAGTTAACTCAAAATGAAATGAAATGAAATTGGGTTTAACGTCCTACTGTTCTGCTCCTAACCCGGGCTAATGAAGACGGGCATACGCCATACAGTGTGCTATGAGGGAAATTTTGCCCGGGCAGCGGCACTATCGCCTACTCTTATATCGAATTCCAACTGCCAAGGGATCTTTTACGTGCATTCCAATGTATACACGGGACCTCGGTATTTCGTCTCATCCGAAGGACTAGACAGCTGTCCTTGTCAGGCCCTCCGTTCTGCACCACTGGCAAGGGGAAACCACATCGGAAAATCCAGATGAACTTTCTCGTCGAATGCAGGGATCGAACACCGAGTTAACTCAATGACAGGCCTTATGATACAGCGCGCACGTGCTTAAAATTTCGCCCAGGGCTGGAATAGCTGGCCTAGACGTGAATTTCAGGTTCTGTCCCCCTTACATTCATATAGCCCGTACGTCTATGCAGACAAGCAGTAATATCGCTATTATGAACCCCTGAGCACAAGCAAATTACTGAAGTGATATAACCAGAGAGATTCCCACCCATGAAGAGGAATTTATTAAAGCCTTATTTTGGAAACCCCTTTGGCATATAATATTCAATGGCCTAAACGACTGAATACATCACAGATCCAATAATAGTTCTTTAGAAAATTTATTCAATAAATTATTAACACCACTCAAACTAAAAATATGAGATTTTCAAACCAGTTTGAATTTTCATGACCCAGTCACACAGGAGTAATAAAGGTTTGAAGTGCCGTAGCTAACTTGAGATCGTCATAAACGAGTACACCTGAAACAGTTATATTTTCTAATATTTTTGGCAATCATAATAAATCAAAACCATTTTTATGGGTTTTTTACTATTGATGATTTACGATCAAACACTAGTAACTCAGATAAAAATTATACGTCCACATGAATACCTAACTATTATATATACATGTATCTCAATACTTCGTGAATATGAACTGCGAAATTTAATATTTTAATCGCAGCTTACATTGATTGGTCACGCTTAATACAATTATATTACCTAGTATTGTTTGTTAAAGCTTAGAAATGGCCCAGCGCGTATCTTGAAGTGGTTACCCCCTTGAGGCAACCCAATTATGCTCAGATAACGAAACATTCTAATTACTGTCTATAGATACAGGTTTAGGTTTAATGAGGGATCTAGTTTATCTATGTTTAGTGTTGCCATTGGTGATATATGTTTTGGTGTGGTGTTAAGCTATAAAATCAAGCAACGATTTTTGTCGTACATCAGAAACCGCCACGCAAGCAGTAACCAGGACGAGACATTTCATTTATCTTTACTTTTATCATTAATAATTCAAAATGCGTGAAATCGTTCATATGCAGGCTGGCCAATGTGGCAACCAAATCGGAGCTAAGGTAAGTTAATATCATTTACACTTATGTCAAAGAAATACAACTTTTTTATAAAATATAAAACGAGTCATGTTCCTGTCCAAACTGAAAACTCCTCGGACATAGCAACAGATTACAGGCAATCAATGTTTATTTATTTATTTTAAAAAGTCACGTAAACAAGCAAATCCGGCTTGATTATTATGTTCGGTTTATGCATACAGAGATTTTATTTTCACATTATCCCAAAATAATAGAAAGTTGACATTTTACCTTAATCAAGTATTTTGGCTAGTAAAGCTTTTGCCAAAAGTAATCCATTGTTCTTCTTAACTTTTAAATGAAGTTTTAGGAATTATTTTGCACAATATTTGCATGATACACAAACGGAGAACCGCTTGATTTATTTGATTTCCGATGAAAAACACCAAAATTTCAGTGTTTCCTTGTTACTCATAATTTGATTCTTAATTGCTTTTAATGTTCGTACAGATACATTAAACATTTCCGATTAGGTTTCCGAAAGCAATGTGAGATTCTGTGTAGTTGGCTATGATTTACTAACCCGCAAAGTTATTTTTTTTATTATTCTAGTTCTGGGAAGTTATTTCTGATGAACATGGTATCGACCCAACTGGAACCTACCATGGTGATTCTGATCTTCAATTGGAAAGAATCAATGTCTACTACAATGAAGCTACAGGTTGGTTTTGTACCATCGTTTTATTTAGTGCTGGGATTTGATGACAAACAGCAATAATAAATCTTATAACATTAAATTGTTTGTCACTATCAATTTATGGTCTTTCAAGATCTGTGTTTGCACATTTACCATTTGTAGACACCAATAATATATTTTTAAAATATTTGCATATTTTTTCTAATCATTTCAGGAGGTAAATATGTACCCCGAGCTGTGTTGGTTGATCTTGAGCCTGGTACCATGGACTCTGTAAGGTCTGGACCTTTTGGTCAAATCTTTCGTCCAGATAACTTTGTCTTTGGACAGAGCGGAGCTGGTAATAACTGGGCTAAAGGTCACTACACAGAAGGAGCTGAATTGGTTGACTCAGTATTAGATGTTGTCAGAAAGGAGTCTGAAAGCTGTGATTGTCTGCAAGGCTTCCAACTTACCCACTCTCTAGGTGGCGGAACTGGTTCTGGAATGGGAACTCTTCTCATCAGTAAAATCCGAGAAGAATATCCAGATAGAATCATGAACACATTCTCTGTCGTACCATCCCCAAAGGTAAGCTTAACAAGATCGGAACAAAAACATGAAAGAAGAGAGCGTTTGTAATCGTATTTGTTTCTATATGACACGGGATTCCCAACATCGAAACCTATCCCGTTTCCAAATCTGAACGTGGGTTGAGAAAAGCATTTGGGATTTTCGTCCTTTCCAACTCTTTCTTGATTGGCAAGGAAAGTATTAGGCCTAATCCGACTGATGATTCGAAAATTATGCATATAAACTATGAATAACAATATAATTAATTTTTTGTATAATTTCAGGTATCCGATACAGTTGTAGAACCATACAATGCTACTCTATCAGTACATCAACTTGTAGAAAACACAGATGAAACTTACTGTATTGACAATGAAGCTTTATATGATATCTGTTTCCGTACGTTAAAACTTACCACACCAACTTATGGTGACTTGAATCACTTGGTGTCAGCTACCATGTCTGGTGTAACAACTTGTCTTAGATTCCCTGGTCAACTTAATGCTGATCTACGTAAACTAGCTGTCAACATGGTACCCTTCCCTCGTCTACATTTCTTTATGCCTGGTTTTGCTCCTCTCACATCTCGAGGCAGTCAACAATACCGAGCTCTTACAGTACCTGAACTTACTCAACAGATGTTTGATGCCAAGAATATGATGGCAGCTTGCGATCCACGTCATGGAAGATATTTGACAGTTGCTGCTATGTTCCGAGGTCGCATGTCCATGAAGGAAGTGGATGAACAGATGTTGAATGTTCAGAATAAAAACAGCAGTTACTTTGTTGAATGGATCCCCAACAACGTAAAGACTGCCGTTTGTGACATTCCACCAAGAGGTCTTAAAATGTCTGCAACCTTCATTGGTAACAGTACAGCCATTCAGGAACTGTTTAAGAGGATATCAGAACAATTTACTGCTATGTTCAGAAGAAAGGCTTTCCTCCATTGGTATACTGGTGAAGGTATGGATGAGATGGAATTTACAGAAGCTGAATCCAACATGAATGATCTGGTATCTGAATATCAACAATACCAAGATGCTACAGCTGAAGAGGAGGGTGAATTTGATGAAGAGGAGCAAGATGCTGAGGAGGCTTAGTTGATTTATCATTTGTAGCAATACAGTATTTGTGTACCCGGCAGCTGAACTTTAATGTACTACCGCAAAACAGTTGTTTTGATATATTTTTTTTTTTTTAAAAAAAAACACATGTTTATTAAAATATTTAACATTAGTAAAAGCATGTTATAAAACAAATGTATTTTTTAAATCAAAAGATCATAAACATTCAAATTTGATTTGATTGATATAGGCCTAATGTGCGAACATAACTAAATATTATATACATGTAGCCTTGGGCTATTTATTTTGTTATTTTTCTGTATAATTGAGACCACAGTTTTAGCATTGTTCAAATTGTCAGATTGTAGCGGTTAATGAATAACGTATTGTTCAATAAATGAATTGAAACACAGAGATAGTTGCATCTGTTACTAAATCGTATAATATTGCCACATTGAGTATCTATTATAGTCAACCTGTGTGTTATAGTGGAGGACACAGACAAATTTCATTGCATATATAAACGATATGTGTAGCAGCGTGCATTATCACAGATCTCATGGGAAATGCATCGAGAGTGAGTCCTCAAATGTACTGTAGGCGGATTACACCTGACACACATCCGCTAGGCCCCCCCCCCCAACGTTTAGAGGAGCTTCAGAAAGTTTTTAACGACTTTATTTCCAAATGTTCCTATAATTTGGTGGTCGTTCTTTTACCATTACAGTCCCTAATTGCGTGGTTGAACGTTCCTGTACAACTCTGCGTTCCACTATGATAAAGGAGAGACTGAAAAATGTGGCACTATATGTAGGCCTAAAGTAGTGAAGGTGATTTTACTCACCTGGACATCATTAATTTGATTCTTTTAGTGCTGCAATAGCCTATATATTGCGGAAACCTATAACAATATTTTGTGTTGGCATGTCTGTTATGAGATCTGTGGAAAGATTGAATGCTTACTCATTAGACAATGTAACATTTTATCACGCATTTGTGAATTCCGGTAGTTTACTTTATCATTTTTAGCTTAAAGAGAGAGAGAAATGGGTTTTAACGTCCATTCGACACAAACTAGGTCATTTCGGGACTAACATGTGGTTTGATTTTATTTCAATAATTCGCGCTTGCGCGAAGAGGTCGATAGCAGTGGGCGCAAACCGGGGGAGCCGGAAAAAAACCAACGAGATTGGACAGGGGATCCTACTCCTTGTCACGTACAACCGGGGATTCGAAACCCCGCCAGTTGACTCAATGACGGGCTTTATGATACAGCGCGCACGTGCTAACCATTTGGCCACCCACCCACCCACCCCCCCTTTTAGCTTAAAACACTCCTAAAAATTTGTTGTTATCATCGTCGGATGAAATGTGCTGAAAGGTCGAAATAATTATTCATTATTGTATTATGTATACTACCATTAAATAAATTAGTCTTGTTGGAGAAATCGGGGTTTTATGAGGTGAATTCCGGCTTTTATAGTCGGGTCCGTTTAATATTTCTAGCATTAAACTCGTCCGAAATCTCATATAACAACTCGTCGTCTTCACAGAAATTATCACTATGATTTGGGGGCCCCACTGAAAATCGCCGGAGCAGCTTCAGTCGATAACAATAACTGATTTCCTTCATTATACCTTCTTGATTCGTCAGATCTTTAAAAATCGACATTTTAAATTATATTGGGAATTTGGTTAAACAGTACTATCACTTTCTGATCACCCCAACATTGTCCTTTAGACAATGGTTCCACTATGGATTATGTACACTACCATTAATTAAATTAGGTGAATTCCGGCTTTTATAGTAGGGTCCGTTTAATATTTCTAGCATTAAACTCGTCCGAAATCTCATATAACAACTCTTCGTCTTCACAGAAATTATCACTGATTAGGGGGCCCCACTGAAAATCGCCAGAGCAGCTTCAGTCGATAACAATAACTGATTTCCTTCAATAATTGATTTCCGATGTACCCACACTTGACGGTCCACGGCGAACTGTATCGTGGACACGCCTCCCTTCGGAGAAGGGTCTAGGGTTCTCTCCCCACCAGAAAATTTGGGAAAATAGCGTTTGCACCTGAAACTGACGGAAAATTTCAATTTTGAGGCTGAATTTGCGATATTGGGGTATTATGATATTTTGATATGAACATTATAAAAATTTGAAGGAATGAATACGACTTTAACGTACATATAATAATTTATGAGAAAAACGAAAAGTTCGGAATCGGATTAGAGTGCGATTTGTTTGAATTGTGAAAATTAACACGCCGTTTTGGGCGCCCAATTCTCGTCTCGGCAATAAGGGGCGCCCCTCCGAGATGAGGCGCCCCACCAATCATGCCGTTTTGGGCGCCCATTAATTGATCAAGTCGTGGGCCCCCAACCAATCTTACTCGGCATTAAGTGCGGTCCGACAGTCATATATTGCCATTATAAGGCGCCCCACAATTCATGTCATTATGGGTGCCCCTCAATCAAGTTGTTTTGTTAATCGTATCGTGTGGGTCATTATCTGGCGCCTCACTATTTGGGGGCGCCTCATATAACGACATGATTGGCGAGGCGCCCATCAAACCAAGTGACTTTGGTTGGGCACCCCGCCAATCTCGCCGTGGTTGCCCAACCAATGTCACTCGGCTTTATGTGGCGCCCATAGTGATATGGGCACCTTAGTCGGTGGCTTAGTATTGCGTCCAATGGAAAGGGCGCACATTGGGGGAGCCGATATTTTCCCCAATGGGTAAAGGGCGCCGAATTTTTCGAGGTGGCGGGGGGCAACTTTGCGTTGGTAACATAGAAAAATACCCAATGGGACCTAGACATTAAGAATTAATTTTACGTTGGTAATATAAAAAGAATAACCCTTTGCCCCTTTGCTAGCTATCACAAGTTAGACTGGATAATCTTATCTAATATTTTTACGTCTAGAGTTATCGGGAAGTCGTTCATTTATAAACAAACTACAAAGTAAGCATGGCTGAAAATATCGTTCCGTGTCCATCGACATTGTCTATCCATAATTTTTCCGAGAAGATAATGGATATTCAAGTAAATTATCAAGTGTTAAAGATGGAGGACAGCTTTCACATATGGATTGGAAACGAAGCTGAAATGGGTAACATGTCATTGGCCATGATGCCTAGCTCAGAAGTAAGTTTTATTTTAAAGTGAAAGTAGCGATTAGACTTGTAAGCTATTTTGACTGCATGATCAAGGAAAGCCAAGGATGGACGATATATATTCATGCATCATATTTTTATGTCTGTAAGGTCTGACTACTATAACACCTCGTGTCATGGTTTCTTTAATTGCCTTCTTTTTGTTGATTCGATTGTTAGACCTACTCGATAACTCTCTCACTCTGTGATGTGGTAAGCTGCATTGCAATTCCTTTATACAGCTGCAATATGAAAATACCACTCTTCCCCACCTGTTTTAAGGCTATTTATTCACTGTGATTCTTTATTTTTCTCCAAAAGGAATCATTTCTCGCCACATGTGACACAAATAATATGAATTCAACACCATTTTCAAATAGAATTTTGCGATTAGAAAACATACACAAAATATGTTTGAACTGATCAGTCATTATGAGACTCAAATATGCACAGACTGTATGTTTTTTTAATCGCAAAATTCTACTTAAAAATAGTGTTAAATTAGAATTATTATAAATACTAAAATAGCCTTAGAAGATAGAACAGAGCTGGAGAAGAGCATATTGCAGCTGTATAGGGACAGTATCTGATCAGAGACCGTTCCTAAAGGAACTTAACTAATCCCACCTCTGTTCTAGGGATATTTTAGAGTCCTTACCCTCTATTTTTCTCCATAATTCTTCAATTGTTTGCCAAAAGGAATCATTTCTTGCAAAATCTGACACAAATGTTTTTGAATTGTAAAATTCCACTTGAAAATAGTGTTGGATTATGATAAATTTGTGTCAGATGTGGTGAGAAATAATTCCTGCGAATAAAAAACTGAACAATGTGAGTGCATGGCAAACTGGAAAACCACTGATAAGAATGAGATTGTAAACTGTTGTTTTTATTTCAAATGTAATTGATCTTTTTTATTTTTGCAGAAGAGTTTGGCCACCAGTGTGCATTTACTTGGAGATAGTTCTAATAATTTAGTATGTAGCATTGCAGAAAAATTGGGTATGAATTTTTTAAACTATACTATTTCTAAAATACACACCTGACTATTTAATTGTTCTGTGGTGCGCTTTAGCAGTGGGTAATATCTAAAGAATCCAGGCAAATTATATTGTAGATCTATATTCGACCTGGGTCAGTGTATTAGCAGCTCAATTATTTGCAATTGCCAATCATTGTTTACTTTATGGATCAACAAGAACAAAAATTTATATGTATTGTAAAATTAGTGAAATGAAGAAGCCTGTTCAACAATTTCCATTAATCATTTACATCATTGATATTATACAATAGGTTATAAAGATTATTTGGCTTTCTGTTTACTTATAGTGCTACATAACTTATGGACTACTCATGGACTTATAAGATGCTGTAGATGCATGTTTCATTGCCTGAAAACCTATATTTACATTGCTGCTTTAAAAAATGTTGATTAACAATTTTACTATTTTTTTTTATTCAGCCAAGAAAAGTGAAAAACAAGTATTTGTGAGTAGTGGTTTAACATATGATCAGCTGTTGACACCACTGGTTGAAAAAAGAATTTTTGAAGAATTGAAGAATCAACCAGACAAGTTCTGAATCTCTGATATCCCTTGTGATTGATAAAAATAATTGGTTGTAAGGAAAAGTTAGTGTATGTAGACTTATTGAGCTGTATACAGAATGTACTATATATTTTTCTAGTACTGAAATACAGATCAGAGACATTAATATGGTCAAGTAATGCCCCATAACAACAAAACGTCCAAGGGCTTTAATTGAAGATTTTGATCAGTGAAACTATGAATTCCTACAACATAAAGACTTTTTGTCATTATTATTTTCTTGAGAGCAATTCAAAAAGGCCTTGAGATGTACTGCTCTACCACAATGGAAATGAAATTGCGTTAAGAGGCCTACTTTTTGCACCAACCAGGCTAACCACGACTACAAATGACATGCAATGTGGTATAAGGGAATTTTGAGTGGGCAGTGGCATTTATGCATTCTTTTTGTCGAATTCAAACTGTCAAGGGTTCTTTTACAAGCACGCTAATGTGTATAAGAGATCTCCTTGCTAGGCCCTCAGTACTGCACCACTGACAAGGGGAAACCCCACTGAAAAATCCTGAGGTACTTTCTTGGCTAACACTGCAATCAAACCTGTGACCCCCCCTCCCCCCCACTATGGGGTCAAGAAACTTGTTTGAATAAATCTAAAGAAATTTGGATGTAATCAAATATCAATGAAGTATATTGAAAAAAGAAGTCTAAATATGCCACTTCAAGTTGAAGGTCTCTATGCCCTGCTCCTTTGGGTCAGGTATGGTTACATATCTACAAAGTTTCTTTGAAATCCATCAAGTAATTTAGGAGACTAATTGTTTACGTCAGACAAAATAAATACATTTTCTTTTGCATTGTTTTTTTTTGAGATAGTCCTTGATAAATAAACAAAAAATCACTTGTTTAAAAATATATTTCTATTTCTATCTGTGTATAAATTTCACAAAACTTTAACAAGAAATAAATAAATATGAAGGTTTTAAACTTTTTTAATAATTCACACACCCAACAGATAGCTTCTTTATGAAAGAAATTATTTTTAGTTGCATTTGGGTATGATGTGTCACACAATTAACACTGCAAAAAAGGGCTTTTTACCCAGACATATGATTACATTTCCCAACCATAAGGACAACTGGACTTTTTATAGGTACCAATATTGGCATACTTTTAAAGTAGAAAACCCCAAAATAATTTTGTTTTTCAATATGCTTTGTGTCTTCTACGATTTAGAATTCTCTGTATTTTGATGTCATCTATTTCAGTTGAAAATCTTATTATGCAGATAGCTAACTTGACTATCTAGCTCTGTTAATGCCATTGATTTCCATTCATAATATGGTATCTGAAACATAGTAATTATACTCATCAAATTATTGGTGGTATAAAGGCCTACACAAACCAATGATTATTCTTCACTGATGGCCAAAAGAACAACATTGCATCCGCGATTATGTTTTGTACATTAGAATTCTCTACCACTGTTATAGCTATGTTTGTTTAAACCTTCACGAAAACAATAGTTTTTGTAATATATTAGAAATATAGTGGGGGAATGCAATAAATCCACATTGAAATATGGTCATATGTTCTAGTTGCCCTGTCTGTTAGTCAATAGTCCAATATTCATCATTTGCAATATCTTAAAATTTTATACAGATAGATATCAGAATCTGTCAATCAGGCAATGACATTACCCGTAATGAATGTGTGTCAAATAAGTTTATGCTAATAAATTGAAGAGTTCTACCCATTAATAGATGTTAATAACTTAGGAGGTGCTCAATTGTCAGTCCAAACATCCCGAATTGACAGAATTGCAATCAAGTGATACGGAATTCAGTCCTGTGATAGTTCTGCCAGTCCCGACAGCTGAGGTGGTGTGAGTAGAATCGTGACGTATTTTAATTAACACATAAGTTTTATGCAGTCGGCACATGCGTTATACTCCGAAATTCTCCTTTTCACTTGATTGACACTATTTTAGGAATTGAGAGAATTTAATTCCGGAATGTTCAATCGAGTATCCCCCTTGTTATGTTCTTAAAAAATCTTCCCTGACAAACACAAGTTTTTGAGTGAGTATGAAAATAACAGACGAAAGACTATGAATAAATGGAAGGAATACAATTTTATAGAAATAAAATTTGGATAAATACTTTAATAATATTCAATAAGAAAAAAATCTGAACTTCTAATATCCACAGGTATATGAAATAAAGATTCTAAATAAAATCTTTTGATTGATCAAAACATGGGAAGCAGTTTCTGAAATTATCACTTACTTCTGCTCTGGAAAAATAGTCCATATTTAATAATTAAAACTAAAATATGACTAAATAATAAGGGAATATATAGCCAATTTGAACAATTATTTGATAGCCTACACATGTACTTAATTATAAATTGAAACATTAGGCAGTTTGGATTGATAATTTTCAAAGAGAAGTCAAGAATTTAACTTGTTGATTCACATTGCTAAATTATATTTACTAACCTGAACCACTTTATAGCCTAGTATTTCTAGATGTCTTTTTAACATCAACGAACTACCTGTTAAATGATGACTTTGTCGACAGTAATCTCTTTCAAGAAATGGTAAAATTGCAACTCTGAAAAGAAGGAATTAAGTGGGATTACTGACATACAAACTGAATTTTTATTTGTGTTGATAACTATATATTCTTTGGCTAATTTGTACCAACAATTCTATTTGGCAGTAATATATATATTGCCTTCAGTTTAACGAAAACATATAGTCAATTTTGTACACTCCAAATTCCAGCACAATAATAACAATAAAATACTCCAAATACTACTAAGACACATTTATTTAATATTGCTCTTAAAAAATTGTTTTGAGTCTATTTATTTTGATTCTTCAAATATCTTTATATTTTAATTTTTTTTATATCTATATCATATTTATAGACCTATGCCTACTTATTTTAAAGTTTTATCTTATGTTCTATGTATAGTTGAATTTTAAATTATATATTTATGTATTAATAATCATTTTATTGTAAAGTACCTTTGAAAATCCAATGCATACTAATCTATAATTATTGTAATAATAAAATGGAGTTTTGTAACTGACTGTGAGAGAACATGTAAAGGAATAGGAACATTTTGATAAATAAAATAAAATATGATTTCTTCATTTTATTACTAAAAATTTACCAGATTGCAGTAAATGAAATACCAAGTCATTAACATTTTTCTGAGACCACCAGAGTGTGACCAGAGTACAAACAACATACCAGGTGTACCTCTGCCAACAAAGCATCTGGTTGAAAGATTCGAGGGATAGACTACCGGGTTGGTGGATTAAAAAGGAAACATATACCTGATTGTATAATCTAAACAGACCACAATTTACTGCATATAAAAGGATTATTTTTCTGATACTGCCCAGTAAAGTATTGACAGAGCATGTGAAATGAGGACACACCTAATACACAAGGATGTTACTTACCTTTGGATATTTGAGTTGGTTGCTGACATACTAGCAGAATCATATATCAGTGGTGTTCCATGGCTATCTAATATACATTCATGTGCTGAAATTTATAAATACTAATAAAAATATTGCTTGTTTTTTTAACATTGGTTACCAGGTAACAACCAATCAACAACAGCAACTAAGACATCTGAGTAGTCCATAAAGATTGTTGTATTGTGATCTATCTTTGAGTACATAGAAAGCAAAATCTTTACATTGTTAAATATCTATGGCTTGTGTACATATGCAAGGGCCATAACTCTAGAAGTAAGTCATGAACATTGTAGAAATAGATTACCTCATTTAACTAATCAGAACTATACATTTTGTCGACATAACAAGATTCTATGAAGTGATTTGGGTAACAAATTCTTACTATCATAATCAATCTATATAAATTACAGGCATCGGTTTTATAAATTATGTTACTAGAGTTATCCAGGGCAATAACTCTTAGAAGTAACAAAATCCAGAAAAACAATACGCATTTGCTACTCTCCATTAAAAATATTTGAAGCAAATCAGATAGTATTTTAGAGCATTTATGAGAATTTACAAGGACAATAACTTTGGAAGTTAGGTTTTCACTCATTAATCTCAACGAGGTACATAAATTTCACACAGATCAGATGAAAGTTTATTCTTCGGACCTCGAGCATTCACAAGATTCTACAAAGTGAGCTAGGATGAAAATTCGAGTTATTCTTATTGCAAATTACTGAAATTCAAAGGGTTTCTTTGTGTCATTATTGTAAACAACCCAAAAATTTTTTAAAAAGACCTGATGATAAATGCTATCCACGGGGTGTTCTTCAGATATTGTAGACGACAGACGAAACAGGGACGATGGCAATTTACGCCTACATTGAAAATGTGGTTGTATAAAAATAGGAATAAAATTTGGTATTACACAGTTTAACAGTTTATAAAACAATCACAAAGTGTAACATGTAAATAGGACTTACTTATATGGTGCCCATAAGGACTCTTTACTGAAGAACTAAAATACTGAGTTCCATTTAAAACATAATCTAATGCTTGTTCTAGTCTTCTTAAAGTTAAAGTATATTCTGTAATAATTATATATGTACATTTATTAGTAAAAATATTTTTACAAGTATCTAATTCTAAATAATAAGTAGAGCAATTGGGGGGTACGGTTTCACACAGTGTATGTATCATACAAGTGTCTGTAAACAAACCCTAGTAGACCTTCATAAGTTACATATAGGGAGTTTCACAAAACCATATGTAATTATTCACGATTCCTACATAGAAAAGATGAACTAGCGCTTGTTTTAATTAATCAAGTAGGAGTAACTAGTGACATATTCACTCTTATAACTGCTCTGCCACAAGTTTGCTATCTGCAATATTTACAGTACAGTACAACTTGGATACACTAATAAGCTCTATCTTCCATAACTGATACATAACTTTCATATGTTTTGTGAAATGGTTGGATAATGATCTGATGAACTTATATCTTAGTTCACACACTTTGTGAAAGATTTATGATACCCAGAGTATTACCGAATCTTATTCATGTACCATACATTCTCATATAGATATTGTAATGAATTATCAAAAAAACATACACATGCCCACAGCCTGAACTTAGACTTGCATGGCTTTAGCTTTGAGACTAGCATATGATCACTGGCAGGATCAACCAGATAGCCTTCACGAGTTCGAGAGAGAGAACCACGAGTAAAAGTATTCTTTTACCACTGTGCATGTGATGTCACATCAGATAGCATTGATAACCCATTCGATGTTCACATTAGATGTTGTAATATACAAGCTGGTCCGGGAAGAATTGTTGCCTTTTACTCATTTTACACCTCCACATACTATCTTGTAACATGGATAGGAAATCTTCCTTTGTTCTTTTCGTTGAATAAGCAGATTGCTTTCCCTCTAGTAGATTGGGTGGAGCTTAACCGTGCAGTAACTAGACATGTTCAATGTTATTGCACACTTTTGCTGGTTCACACTAGTTTTAGTAGAAATCATATAGAGAAGTGGGGTGGGTTTTCTGTGCAATAACAATAAGTTGAGCAGTTGTCAATGTTACAAGTCATTTATAGCCAGTGGCGGATTAAGCTCCACCAAGGCCTGAGGCGGCAGTTGCTGGAGGGCCTATTTAGTTTTTAAAGTTAGAGCCAAGGTAGTTGCTAACATTAAAAACGGGATTCGTTACTGAGGTTATAATATTATTAAACAAGCCAACAGTGAGGCTGATGTCCCCCGCCGAAATAGGAAAATAATTAGAGGACACATATAAATTTATCACAAATTATCTTTTACAAAGTATTGAACAATCAAACAGTATATCTTTACTTATAGTCTAACAATCAAAGTAGGAGAGTTATTGTTTTCCAAAGTCTCGACCAATCAAATTGCGTATCGCTCTGCTTACCCTGAGCAGAAAATGCTCATTATCAAACTTAGTCAAGGTATTACTGTAATGAAACTATACACCAAGTTTCATCAATCTCACTTAATTAGAACTAAAGTTATCGTGTCCCAAAGCATCAACCAATCAAATTGCTTATCTCTGCTTACCCTAAGCGGAAAATGCTCATCTTCGAACTCCATCAAGGCATTGACCTAATCAACACATACACCAAGTTTGAACATTCTAGCTCAATTAGGAAGAGAGTTATCGTGCCCCAAAGTATCAACCAATCAAATTGCTGCTTACCCTGAGCAGAAAATGCTCATTATCAAACTTAGTCAAGGTATTACTGTAATGAAACTATACACCAAGTTTCATCAATCTCACTTAATTAGAACTAAAGTTATTGTGTCCCAAAGCATCAACCAATCAAATTGCTTATCTCTGCTTACCCTAAGCGGAAAATGCTCATCTTCGAACTCCATCAAGGCATTGACCTAATCAACACATACACCAAGTTTGAACATTCTAGCTCAATTAGGAAGAGAGTTATCGTGCCCCAAAGTATCAACCAATCAAATTGCTTATCTCTGCTTACCCTAAGCGGAAAATGCTCATCTTCGAACTCCATCAAGGCATTGACCTAATAAACACATACACCAAGTTTGAACATTCTAGCTCAATTAAAAGTTATCGTGTCCCAAAGCATCAACCAATCAAATTGCTTATCTCTGCTTACCCTAAGCGGAAAATGCTCATCTTCGAACTCCATCAAGGCATTGACCTAATCAACACATACACCAAGTTTGAACATTCTAGCCCAATTAGGAAGAGAGTTATCGTGTCCCAAAGCATCAACCAATCAAATTGCTTATCTCTGCTTACCCTAAGCAGAAAATGCTCATCTTCGAACTCCATCAAGGCATTGACCTAATAAACACATACACCAAGTTTGAACATTCTAGCTCAATTAGGAAGAGAGTTATTGTGTCCCAAAAAGTGTGACGGACAGACAGACGGACGGACAGACGGACAGACAGACGGACAGACAGACGGACGAACCCATTTTAATAGTCCCCTGCTTTCTTCGAAAGGCGGGGGACAAATATTAGTTATAACTATTGAAATTTGTCGTACAAAATGCTTTGACAGCAGAAACGTCACCGGAAACCAACTGTACATACACCTATTTTCAAGGATAATATTTCCTCATGATGGGGTGTTTATTTCGAAACTAGCGCAAGATCTTTTGCTAGATATTTTTTCTATTAGCCCTTTATTTAGACGAAGTTAATAAAGAAAACGATATGAAATATGAAACGAAGAGGCATACTGTATCTGGGGCGTTTTTTTCTAATTTGCAGAAAATAACTAAACTGTACAACGCAACTTTCCGTGTCTTATTAAAGGCAAATATCTTTATGACATCATCGATGTTTAATTGCTGGAGAATATCATTTTCTATGCACATAATGGACAGATAATTAAGTCTGTACTGTGTCATTGTCTAGCGCATATGGTTTTTGACACGCTTTAGTACCGAGAATGATCACTCTCCAGTACAATTGGATACCATTAGACACAAATACATCCGCAATATCAACTCCACATCCGGAAACATACCCTTTAAACCGGGGCTTGTGTTTCAGTCGTAAAACATCTCCATCATTTTTGATGGTTTCGATTTAGCAATTGATTCGTGGGATGTTGGTCTGAATGGCGCCCCCTCGGTTTCTTTGTACAGTTCACAGAATTGCACTAATTGGTCACTCGATGTAGGCCATCACTCAATTCTGGGTACCAAATTTCCCAGGGGCCTACAATCGCGTCATAACTAGTACGACGTCTTAGACTATACTAAGCCAAAGTCGTTTGATATTGGTAATGTAACTTTATATGCCCATAAATGACGTCATGTGGATACAATATATTAAGCAAGACATAACCGAAAACTTACAAGGATTTAACGTACATTGTAGGCCTACATTTAAAAAAATAAGATCAGATCTCCAAACAATAGGGCCTATTTAAAATGGCGTGGGCCTAATTAATTTCGGGTCAGGGCCTATGTTGATTCCCATTGGGCCTAAACCCCACCCCCCTAACATTCATTGTCTATGTGTTTTTAATCGTATCAGACAAGTCTAAAAAAATTTTTTCTTACAAAATCTTTGGGCCTGAGGCTGCAGCCTCATCAGCCTCACTGATAATCCGCTACTGTTTATAGCACGCTTCATTCGTTAACAGGTTTAACCCCTCGGCCTTTGGCCTCTGGTTAATCCTGTTAACTCATGAAAGCCGTGCTTTAAATATAACTTGTTACCTATATCTATCTACACTAAACAGGAAATATTTTTTATTCAAATATACTTCAATCAAACATTTTTATTTATTTTTTATTTTGTTCTATTTTGGTATGCTTGATTGTAATTAATTATATTACAATAACAGTCTTTCCAGTAAATCCATACATAAAATATTTAAAGAAACTAAACCTGTTTTGTTTTAGTTCAAAAGTAATGAATTAGGTTGATCTGATGTGTTATTATGATTACTGATGGGTCAAGCTCTATAGGACTCAAATTTTGTTTTAGAAGATTAAGCAGAAGTTGGTTGTTCACTAATTATAGTTTAACTTTTGGCTTACTGTGTCAACAGTGGAACACAATCACTTATATATTCAACATAGTTGGACTGTCATCTCACACAGCAAATCAACATATAAAATCCAATGAAATCAACAATCTGAATCAAAGAGTCCTAGTCTGAGACAATTGAGAACTGTCCAACTTCATTCCCCCTTTATCTAAAAAAAAAGAAGAGAAATTATTGAGTAGTAACTTTAGCTTACCAGTATTTATACTTGTATCAGTACCAGTACAAACCATGGGAATATTTAACTCTGGACATTCTATAGACACACATTGATTTATTTGGTATAGCAAACTTCTTAATGATCTGGAAAATTTAATATTAAAATATGAATTAAACCAGGCAAGTTATTACATGAATGGAATATTCAGTCGATACGAAGGCCACACTTGAATTGAATAGTTCACGTGTGATTTGCAATTAGCAACTCGATGAACGAGGCTAAAAATATCACACAAGGGAAGACTGGAATAACAAGACACCAAAGACTGCCATTTAATTTGCACTCTTCACTGAACATAACAGTATGATTGAATGTAAATCAGTTTATATACATTCATATTACATCGTTATATGCGTTGGTACCTATTTGTGTCAATTTCTAGGTGCCAAAAAATAAAGATTTAGCTCTTTTAAGTTCAATGTAATATATTCAGTAATAAGTCTTGACTGGGATGTATAAAACACTAACAAAGTTTTCTTCAAAATTAAAGGTAGGTTTTCATCTTTTACATTTCTGTTACAAATCTAAAGAAAGACCTTGTAATTTTGCTGATCAGGATGTCATAATGTTTAATATATCTTTTGTAGATAGGTAATGAAGCAACAGTATAAAATGGGTGGTTTTGGGCCTCCAGGCTTTAGGCCTATAGTAAAGGATCTTTACAAATTTACCTTGCTTGATAGGAGTGAGATGAAATTTCTGAAAAGCAAAAGAAAACAAAATGCACATGGAGTCGTGTCATCAACTAAAATAATACTGGTACTTTCAAATAGTCAACTAATATCCCACAAGCAACAAAGTCATCCGTGCTAGCTCTTAAATTAAACATACATTATGCAAGAGCTAAATCTGTCTATTTCAGGTCTTTCTTTAGGCCTGAAATGTTATCTAAATTATTAATTAGACATTAATTGACCTATCCAGGCCATAATCAACTATAGATGGCAGCGCTAGCCTGCGATCTTTAGTGGATTGTAAGCCGATTTACTGCACAACTTTCCTTCTCTATTAAAGGATTAAATGGATAATCGAGACTATGCTGTTTATCGTACTGACTTTAGTAATTATGACCGAGGCTTATGGGAATTTCAGTCATATAGTTTTCGCTTCATAGTGGTTCAATTTGAATGAAATTTTCACCAAATTGCCTTTACATTATCTAGTTTTTAACTATTATAGTGAGAACTGCCAACTCGTTACCGAATCTCCCATAATGTATCTTTAAAGTAAGCAAATACAGATTAGCTAGTTTTAAGAAATATGACCGAGTGAACAATCACTGTGGAATTTATACAAAGATAGGTTACCAGGCAACGATATATACGCCCACAGCAGCCAAGTCATCTGGAAACTCAACAAGTGTTGTCGCATTTTTTTTCTTTTGTCAGTAATGAGAATATTTAAAACACATGAAAATCTGATGACAAGTAATAACTCATGAAGTAATTATCAGAAAACATTAGAATTCGTTTCAATTGTTTGTCTCATGACCATAAAACAATTTATATTTACTTTAGAGCGTCAACAAGATTTTCAAGGTCATTAACACTGGCAGTAATTATCAAAAATTAGTGAAAATGAATAGAATTCGTTGTCTCATGACCTTAAACACTATGTATAGGTAAAGTCAATCAGATTTTAACTTTAGCCTCAAGAGCTTCTACAGGATTTGTCAAAGAGGTCAAGGGCCATAACTCTGGCAGTAATTATTGGAAATTGTTGAAAACCAATAGGCTTCTTTGTTTCATGACCTTAAAACTGTGTATAAATTTAAAGTCAATCTGATTTTAAACTTAGGCCTCAAAAGCTTCTACAAGATTTTTCAACGTGGCCAGGAGCCATAAATTTTGGCAGTAATTATTGGAAATCGTTGAAAATCAATGGGCTTCTGCATTTCATGACCTTAAACACTGTGTATAAATTTAAAGTCAATCGGATATTAACTTTAGCCTCTAGAGCGTTGGACGTACGGGGGCGAAGACAATATACGACCACATTTCAATGTGGGCGTATAACAATCTAATTAAAATACAGATCTATATTCCGTTTCATTTATTTTATACTTTCAATGGCCTACACTACATGAAGATCTGACCAGTTGTTTTGGGAGGTCGCGTCAAAGGTCATACAAGCGGCTTTTGACATCAGACATTTGATTAACCAATCAGCATTGATGTTTCTTGTGGATTACCCACAGTTCCATGCACCTCATGCCAAAAGCTTGCTGTAACAGACCATTTCATTGGCTAATCCCTTACATCATCCAGAACATGTCAATGATAACAACTCTTCCAGATCCTAGTGTAATAAAGACAAGTAAATCAAAATTTTGAACTATAAAAAATGAAACGAAATAGGATCAATGTTTTAATCAGATTGGACATATAAAAATCTGTTAAAAACTCCTGTTAACTGGTCACAAAAACTTTGGATCAATGACAGACAACCAATGGATGCCAGTGATAACAACACGAGTCATAAATATTCCAGCATTTCTACTTTTTCCCCAGAAAAAAAGATTTCTTACTCATAGTAAAGTATATGTGGTGAAGATTTATAAAATAAAGTAATACCTTCTAGACTGTCCATGTGATTCATGTATTCCAGAGTGAAAAGTTGCTTTAAAACTTTTTCTGGAAATATCTGCATCTGGCATAAATGAAAAATAAACAGTAAACTGTGGTTCAATTTTATGTTTTTCAATGACTGAATAGCCATTTCTTGACATACTTCAGAGAACTCTTCATATCGAATTGGTTTATATCCATTTACTGAATAACAAATCACAAGACGTGCAGTTTGACTTTCATGTAATTCACTAAAATGGTCAAAGAAATAATTTTCCATATCTTGGAAAACTTGTGGTTGATAACAACGAAGTACTTTAAACATATAACAAAATTTGTGAAATTCTACTTGTGACATATCTTTGGTAAAATTGGGTAAATTTTTCAGCATTTTGGTAAGTATCATGTTTAATGAGGAATCCTGATTAAATTTGAAGAGTAGTCCTAAGTTACATAATGCGGAAACAATTAGTGGACTATTTAAAGTGTTATTTTTGAGCAGGGTGGATAGTATAGCTGATTTAATGTCCATTATAGGTGGATATAACTGCTCTAGTCTTTTCTTGTTAATAATACATGTCTTTAATAAAGCAAAGGCTTTATGTGGGCACTGTGGTAAAGCTGGCAACAGTCTCTCCAAGACAATATCAGGCAGTTCTGTTTTAGTATTCCCAAGCAAACTAAAGGCAATTAAACAAACTGTAAATGGATTTGTTCCAAATTGTCCATTCAGCAATTCTATTAACTTGGCAGAGAACTTGTTATCAAAATCAGAGTTTTCTGTACTTGTTGTTCCATAAATGTAAAGAATTCTGTGAAAATGCCCAAGTGAGTGTTCTACACTATCAAGATTTTCAAGGATTTTACTTTCAAATTTTGATACTACTTCTGGAACAAGTACTAATTTCGGTAATTTTAATAAACTATAAATGTCCATTTCATCAATTCTTTCCACGGTGACATTGATCATTCTATCAAGAGTCTTTGTCTTTATAAAGAAAGCCGAAAAGGAATCCAAAAGATGAACCAATTCCGTGATTGGCAAGTCATCTTTAAAGAGCAATTCGTCCAGTCTTCTCAATAAAATATCGGGGGTTAATCCAGGAACTTTCAGACATCGAAGATCTTGTCCAGAAATCTGATTAAAATATTGTGGCAGTTTCTCCATTACAAAATCTTTTAGGTGTAGTATGTTTCTTACATACGGCTGTGCATTTTTTTTATCTAATCCCTCGAAAGATTTGTGAGTTAGTAAATTAATAAGTCGAATACATGGCCTAATGTCAGCATAGGACACATATTTCTTGCTTTTGATCGAATTCAGGAAATATTCTGTGATTTTCTCAAAAAAAGCTTCACCTTTATAAAATTTAACAGTGTTTGATAATATTCGATAAATATCAGTCATCTGTAAATGATAATCATCATCATTTATTTTTACAGTGTCTTTAGATATGATTTCTGATAACTGAATTAATACTATATTCAAGAGTATCGTATGATAACCTGTTGGAAACATTTTAGAAAGATCTGAAATTGATGCAAGACTTGCTAAGTTAAATTTGTAGTTTGAATCAATGATACGATTTAGGAATTTGTTTAAGAAGGTAGCATGGAGGGGCTTCCCAAGCAAAATAAAAGCCAAAGCAACATCTGCACAGTCCTGATACGGAATTTGATCCACAGAAGCCTCAATCACTCCAAAAAGCATTTGGCAGCCTGGATTCTGAAGCACTGGAGAAAGGGATTCTTCACGTTTTCCCATAATTTGTAATTGATCAAAGGCAACAATAATGTTTTTGAACAGCCATGGGTACTGGTCAAAAAGATCTTCATAGACAACTCGTAGAAGCTGGTTTGCATAGGTGGGTAATCGGTCTATTTCAATAAGATTGTTTTCACAAAGATGTTGCAGATCTGCCAATAGGGCAGCTTTAGATAATTCTTTGTTAATAGTCATAGGAAAATCCTTCTTTTCATTAAGAGTAGAATAGTTCTGTACACATGTCCTGTTAGTGTTATTTATATTTAAATGATCAATAGATTGGAAGACTCTGACATTATTTTTGTGATAAATTGGGGCACTTGATATCTGAGCTCTGGCACATGTATATCCATGAGGTCTGATGTTAACTGGAAGATATTTCTTGCCTAGAACATAGTTCCAGAAACACCATGTGTTAAATTTACGGACAGGTAAGACTGGTAACTGCATTGCATATCCTGAAAGTAGAAACACAATTATTCACAATTAGGCTAATTAGGGACCAACACAAAATTTCAACATGTGTGTCTAAACAAATAACCGAGTGATAGATTTACACCCACTCACTCATCCGTACCGATGGACTAAGAAAATGTTGACATATTTCCATGATTCAATAAAAAGAGAAATATATTTTTATACCATAACATATTGTTCACATCACATAGCCTAGCATTATAGGCATGCAAAAGAAGCGTAACATTTGACAATGTTAGGGATAAAAGTGATGAGTTGATCGGATACCAACTCCAATTGACTCGATACTCGCTCGCAATGCACTGGCTGGTGGCTCTTTCGCGAGACTCGAATCAAAGTTCACACTGACACTATGGATTTTGATGCGAGTCTAATATTAAATAGCCAACATTTATTTATCATTTTCTATCTCCAGTGCCATTCAACCCACCCAGTAATTGAATTTCCAACTGTAGTAAGGATTAAATTCTTTTACGTGAACACCAACTTGTAAGCTACAAAAACGATGTTCTCCTTGCGAGACCATTCGTCCTGCACCTCTGACAAGGGGAAACTTCCACAACGAACACCGAGATTGAACCTATCTCACATGGGCCGATAAGAATTCGTTACTAAAGTAACTATTGCGAACCCAATATTCTCTTTTCTATTCCAGTGTCCCAAATAAGAAAACCTGTGCTTGAAATATATCCACCATATTCAAACTGTTTTACATAGTGACGGGTGTCGTGCAAGATCAGACTGGGGATGCTTACATTTAGTTTGGATTAAATCATTATTCTTGACAACCAAGTCTATTCATAAATTTCATATGACCGGAAGCACCTACAATCGGCTACAAGCGTAATTCTCTTGACATCGTATAGGCCTATGTTTTTAAATAAAGTTGATGTAATCAGCTGATCGTGCCAACAATACTAACAATAATTTGATACATATAAGGCATCGGATTTCTAATGGGTGTTTTGAGTTTAGAAGAAAAAAATTAGAGTTACCTCCCATTTCGTAATGGCGGCGATTTAGCTAAAAAGTAAACCACGATGGCACATTATGCATTTAAACACTTGTGCAAGGATCTTCTGACTACTAGAAGAACTACACAGTGTTTGATTCCTTGTTACAGATTATTGTATAGTAGTATTAGAGGAAAACCACATGATATTGCTCGGTCTTTGAAAGACAGATTAGAAGGTAATAATATCAGTGTCACTGTCTGTAGTGTCAGTCATACTCATTGTCACATATGACATAATATTATGTGATAGAACTGGTTAAACATATTCCAAATATAATGATAACACAGAGATCATTGCTACGATAAATTTCAAGAAAGGGAAGTGACAAATGCAAAAGGAAGACACAAGGTATCCTAAACTGACTGAAGTGAGATGTGGTCATGATGATGGGCATGGGCCTATGTAGTAGGGGTTTCAGGTCAAAGTTTCATATGACAGAAATTTTTTTTTAAAAAATATTTTGTGAAAATATACATAAAATGCTACCCAAATTTTTTTATTTCATCAAAATATTCTAATTAGACCCAAAGTTATGGAATTTTAAAATCCGAGATCGACGTTGCAATAATGTAATCAAAATGCTCTATACCAGTCAATGCGTGGAATGGCACCAAAATAAGTGCTTTTCAGTCATATTTGAGTGACGTCATAAGCGGTATTTACCAATTTTAAAACTGAAATCCGCATGTTATTGTCAGCTAAGATTTATTAAAATCGTAATAATTTGAATGATAATATGTCAAATATTTATAATCTGGGTGATACCACAAAAGCTTCAAGAGTTTTAGGGTTCCTGAAACTTAATCTCAAACATTGCCCAAAAAACGTGAAAGAACGTGCCTACCAAACATTAGTACGACCGAAACTTGAGTATAGTTCACCAATTTGGAACCCGCAGCAGAAAACACAAGTGAAACAAATAGAACAGATCCAACGTAATGCAGCTAGATTCGTACTTAGCAAGCCATATAATTATCAGAACCCTAGTAGCGTGACACTCATGATAAACCAGCTGAAGTGGCCATCGCTGGAACACCGCAGACAACATTCGGACTTAGTACTTATGTACAAAGTTATGCATAAGCTGGTAGCAGTACCAACATCTATACTACCAGACCCATCAGTTTGACACAGCAGAAAGTTCATACCATACCACTGTAAAATTAACGCATATCAACACTCATTCCTCCCACGCGTAATCGCTCATTGGAACCGCTTACCGGACCAAATTCTACAGTTGAACTGACAGGACAGCTTTATGGAAGCATTACAGTCAACCGTGGGTGTGTAACCCGAGTCATTAAATGTATAGTGTACATACAAGTTGAACTTCTTAACCGTTCACGCTATGGGGGAAGATCCGACCTCGCGCATGTACAGTTCACCCAGCACCTTCATGTCATGTCCATCAGAGGATTTTGTGAAGTATCTCATTGAAGTTGAAGTTGAAAGTATTTTATATTTAGTCGAAATTTAGCATATTTCAGTCATCAAAACAGATAAATCCTGTTTTCTACGGCCGTAATTGTCTGATCTAAAGGTATCAAAGACCATAATAAGCACAAAAATGTTATCTATCGTTTGATTGGTTCTATATCAAATTCCACCAGAAACTAAGGTGCAGATTCACCAATGAAATGAGTCGTAGCAATGGAAAATCTCCGGCCGCGTGACGTCTGAGCGGTATTTTCCCGCGAGCGTCTCATGTAAACAAACGGTAATACTGCTTACATTTCGATAATTTTTCAGCCTGAATCTTTGCAGATATTGAGATTGATATTAAACTATTACAATACAATTGCTAGTAATACATTTACATAAAATAGTAATTCAGAATCGTAGATTGAAGTTGGCTATATTTCAGCCGCTGGCTGTCCGATTTCACGCTGAAGTCACGTGACCTGAAACCCCTATATGTAGCCTATGCCATAACGGCCAAAAACAGGTTTGGTCAAAACGGCCCCACTTTAGTCATAACGGCCAATAAATTTGGTCATAATGGCCAAAAACTTTAGCTGTAATGGCCAAACATTTTTATACTCCCACATTTTCATGTGGACGTATATTGTCGTTGCCCCCGTCCGTCCGTCCACAATTGTTTGTGGACACTCTGCAGGTCACAATTTTTATCTGATTTCAACGAAACTTAAAATATAGGTTTATCTCCCTAAGATCTTGGTTCCTTGCGATATTGGCATGTATCGGACCGTAACTTCATGCATTATGGCCCCTGATTGCACGAAAAATTGCATTTTTAGCTTGTGGATGGAAAACAGTGTAATGTACATGACGTATGCTATTATAAAATAAAGTATTTTCATACCGTATGAATAAATCGTAACACGGTAGCTGGTTAATACAAGACAAAAACATTTTATCTTTTTGTATAGCAGTTACAATGTCACCCGGACTTTGACATGGATTATCACATTGTTTTACAGAATGTATATTTCTTTCCACCTAACATTTTAAAGATGCATTGTAAGATTTAGATAACATGACCAGATGTACTGAAACATGTCAGTACTCCTTAACACATGGTTCTCACTAAAAACTGAGCTATACTATATACCATGTTATACTGAATACCAGAAAACACCGGAAAAACACTAAATACCGGATGACACACTAAATAAAGGAAAACACCTTACATGTAAATAGGTAACTCGGAGTCTGGCAGGGCTCTATAAAAGTTGAGTGTGCCTGCGCACACACTTGAAAATGTGCCTGCAGGGTCATATTGAAACACAGGGATGTAGCCCTGATTTGGTGAGTCTTGTAAAAATATATGTGGCTAGCGGAGCGAGCCCAAAAATTTTTTGGGAGGGGGGGCGTGGTCTTTTATGAAAATTAAACCCTTCTTTGTGTATTTTCAGAGCATCTGCTGCCTTTTGTATTTGGTTCAGTGCAAATCAAATTTCCATTTATATATTCAAATTTTACCAAATTCACTTAATTTTCATCAATGATACAGGGATCTAAAAACTTTTTGACACCACCCGACCGAGCATAAAATTGTCCCGCCCCACTCTGTTTCTCTGGATAGATAAGTTGAGGACCTTTCGGTATTTGTTGTTTTGTTGGGTTTTTTTTTTTTCAAATATTACTTTATTACTTTTATTTGAGTACAACGAACTATGACAACAGGTAGATATTGATAATTAAAACACGTTGTGTATTATTTGACTTGTTTGTAAAGTTGTTGTACGTGTCTCACGAATATTATTATTACGGTGGAATGAGAATCAGGTCAGACAGAAACTGAGAAAGCTCTCATCGTCCTCCGAGTCCTACTCTCGGGCCTTAGCAAATCCACGGTCAACACGAGTAAGAAATAAAATAAGAAACATCGTGAAAATTTGCAGTCACGTGTTGGACAATTACGACATTCAAACCTTTAACATTGGAGTGCCGTAAATTGGTCTGGGTGACCTATTTACGGCAAATAAACAAATATAAAGGGAGTCCAATATAAAGACCGTAGAATAATTGTAAAATGAATAGACCTAGGCCTACACATCTTCTAAGTCTAAATAAACAAAATACCAATACATCTTTCTTTAAACTAATTTGGGATGATAGGGTCTACTACGGTACACAAAATAAATTATGCCGTGACAGACATGGTTTACGTACTTACGTCGGCTTTTTACCATGGCTTTGCCGTGGTAAATTTCGAGCGCCGAGTTTGTGTACAAAGAAGGACGAAGGGGTTTAAATACGACTGGGCGGCTTTCTTCGATTTTTTTCTTTGTGCTGGGCGGCAAAAAATAGTGCCGGGCGCAGGCGCCGCCCGGCGTGGCTACATCTTTAAAAATGTGCCTGCAAAATTTTTTTTGAAATGATTGTGCCTGCGCACGCCGTGCGCATGTGCGCGGAAATATCGATGCCTGGAGTCTGGTCCTCTGGAAAACACCGGAAAAACCTAACCCTAACTCTCCGCAAACAGAGGACCATGCTCTGGGTTACCTATTTAGTGTGTTTTCCGGTATATAGTGTTTTTCCGGTATTCAGTATAACATGTCCTTTTCCAGTGTTTTCTGGTAGTTTTCCGGTATATATAGTATTGCCACTAAAAAAAACCCTTTTCCATTGCTCCATGCTACATGTACATGTAACTACAAGTTAAAAATCAGCTGATGGAACTTTATTTATCATAGTTTGTGTCCCATGATCTATTCAAGTTACCACAGAAAATGTTATGACTTAAAAAGTTAGAAAAATGAGCTCAATACATGATATTTTTATTTTCAGAAATAAAGGCAAGAAACGAAAAAGATGTTGTAAGAAATAATATAGGTTTTCCACTACAAAATGTAGGAAAGCGCCTTGAATCCAAGTGGGTCAAAGAAAGACAAAAATATGAAAAAAATTCTAGACTTCAAACATGTAAGTCTATAAAAGGAGATTCTCCATAACATTTTAAATTCTATATTCTGGAAGGTTTTATATGTCATTGTCTGCGTTTAATATGATTTGGACAACCTATAAATATTATTTGTACGTGTTTAGTATGTCATCTTTGTCCGTTATCTGTCCACAATTTCTTATTAACACACCACAGGTCCGAGTTCTAGTCCTATTTTAAACAGGCATTGTTAATGTTCATTTAGAAAAACACTATTGCTGGTCTCAGTCTCACACTGTGAAGAATGTGGTAGTGAATGGGTTTACGAATGCATTACGACACCGATTCGCAAATGATCACTAGGTGATCGTCAGACATTCGTACATATTCGGGAGCATTCACAGTCGTTCATGGTGTGTTTCAAGATCAGGAACATGCTCCTAAAATTCGCCAGGAAAGCACATTCTCATTGCTTTTGCAGCATTTTCGTAAGCAATCGTAAGCCATTCATATTGATGGCCAGGCATTTGTAGTGATTGTAAGACATCTGTCTTAACTTTACACAAGCATTATCATATTCTGCCAATCTACCAAGGATTTTCAAATTTTCATATTCGCAGGGATAATCTTCATAATATCAGAGGAACATTTATCTCCCCAATTTAATTGTGTTGACTTATATGATCTTGTAAACACTATACAAAACAAAGTACTTGATAGAATATTTTAAAATTTGTTAAGATTGTTCATTATGGTATCAGGAAGAAAGAAACAGATCACATTTAAAATAAAATTTGTATTATAAATAGACAATCTCCTAGGAGTCTTTTTTTGATATAAAAATAGATGAGTAGGAGTTTTATTCATCACCCAATCCCTTCTTACATGCACAAATAAATAAATATAATTCTTTGCTATAGATTTCATTTTTACGGAACCTGATTACATTACGGCGAAGTGATACATTATTTTTTGACACAATTCAACCATTGCAAAGTCCTTTATATCACCCCAGTGTTTCCATCAAGGTCAATTAAATAAAAAAAGTTCCTTTTTGATAAGAAAGAAGTTACTTTTAATAAAAAAAATTAACTGTTCTTGAAAATAAAAAAGGGGTTCCTCTTTGATTGATCAATCAAATTCATGTAAAGTGATATAGGAGATATCGCAGTAGATTATGAAATTTATCACATAAACGATATCTACTGTAGAATGTATTATTGGGTGATAAATTATTCTATATACGTTTTGCCAGTTTATATTTTAGTCATATTCTTATTCTTGAAGCTTGTTATTGTATCACAGGATTAAGTTCTCCATGGAACTTTTTTAAGAATTTCAGTAAAAGTGCTCATTGTCGCGTAAGAAAGAATTAAAAAATGTTAGTATTGTAAATTTCTAATACTTTTAGCAGTGTTATATTCTTAATTAAAGTTTATTAAAGATACATTATGGGAGATTTTTATAGAGAGTTGGCCATTCTTGCTATAACAGTTCAAAAGTAGATGATGAAAGAAGAATATATTGAAAAATTCAGTCAAATTACTTTATTCTGAACATAGTTATCATCGTTGTAATATTTGCCTAGAAATGGTAGCGAAATGTGTCTTCACCTTCGCCGATCGTTTGATTGACAGGCGTTAACTCCACCTACATATCTCGATTATCAAGTAAAGTTTTCAATGGCATACGGAAACGCTTTACAGCTGCCTCGCTAAGTACACTCTATCATTTAGCCTCGATCTAACTGACGTATTTTCATCAGGTTACCCCTTATTTGATTTAATCAATTAATGAAATCCTATTTAAATCCGAGCTGTAGCCGAGCCATCCGTGGGTCTACAGAGTTGATTTTGGTCTTGTTGTTTAAATAAAGATCTAATTTATAATTTCTATAACATCTGAAGCCTAAATTAAGATTTGCAATAATCAGATTTAGCTCTTGCATAATGCATGTTTAAGTATGCATATCAAATAATTAGTGAAAATGACTGCTTGATGGAAAGCTATTTAGATACTAATTTATGTGGAAGTAACCACATGGGAAAATAAGAACACAAAGAAAGTTGTAATTTTATATATCCTTGTAAAATAAGCCCCAGCATTTGTCGAACATATCTGGAAATAAACATTTTTATACACACTCAATTAAGAAGAACCCTATCAAATTTCTATGTTATAATCGCTTAGAAGCTTGATACAAAGCAGTATTATTCATGGTTAATAAACCTTGCATTGTCTACTTTATGGTTGGTGGGTGGTCTTTACATTACATGTATTTATGAAATGATAGCCACTTTAAATTAATACATGTACTTATTCTTTCAACAATTTCTGTTGCTTATATTTGTTTACCTGACTGTGCAGCAGTTGAACTGCTCACTATGTCAATTTAATAGAATTTTTTTCTACTAAGATTTTCTTTTTAAGTGGAAGTAAATTTGGAAGAAGTGAGGCAAAGTTGGGTTGAAGAACAGATGCCTAACCACTCTTATATCTTGGCTGAACATTATGGAATTTACAAGGATTTATTTGACCATTCTTATTTTTATCCTAAACTCTTCATGGATATTGAATATGATGTAGATGAAGAGTTTGTCATGCCACTGTATCTTGGAAACAGAATAACTCCAACTGAGGTAATTTCTTTTTCAAATAGCTACCGTGTCCATAGCCACTATGACTACACAAGTAGAAGATAGCAACCGTTATTCGAAAAATTTGATTAGTCGATAACTTGGAGCTCGTTAACTTTTATTCTAATTGAGTGAGAGTGGTGAAACCTTGTGTATAGTTTCATTACACCAATACCATGACTAAGTTTAATGATGAGCATTTTCTGCTTTCAAGACTTTAGAATGCAATAACTCTCCTTCTGATTGAGGTAGAATGTTCAAACTTGGTGTAGGTGTTTATTAGGTGAATTCCTTGGAGTTTGAAGATGAGCATTTTCTGCTTAGGCCAAGCAGAGATAAGCAGTTTGATTGGTTGATGCTGTGGGATGCGATAACTTTGGTTCCAAATAAGTGAGACTGAGGAAACTTAGTGTATAGTTTTATTACATCAATACCTTGACTAAGTTCGATAATGACCATTTTCTGCTCAGGGTAAGCAGAGCGATATATGATTTGATTGGTCGAGATAACTTTGATTCTGAAATGAAATGAGATGAAATAGGTTTTAACGTCTAATGAAGACGGGAATACGCCATACAGTGTGCTATGAGGAAAATTTTGCCCGGGCAGCGCCCTATGGCCCTCTCTTATATCAAATTCCAACTGCCAAGGGATCTTTTATGTGCATGCCAATGTGTACACGGGACCTCGATTTTTCGTCCCATCTGAATGACTAGACAGCTGTCCTTGTCAGGCCCTCCATCCTGCACCATTTACAAGGGGAAACCACTTTGGAAAATACCGACAAACATTCTCGGCCAATGCAGGGATCGAACATGCGAACTCCAGGCTAGCGAGACAGCGTCTTACCCATTTAGCCACCCTGTCTCCCAACTTTGATTCTAATTGAGTGAGAGTGGTGAAACTTCGGGTATAGTTTTATTACATCATTACCTTGAATAAGTTCAATGATGAGCACTTTCTGCTAAGGCTAAGTAGAGAGAGACTTCAATCTGATTGGTCGAGACTTTGGAACACAATATAACTCTCTTTCTAATTGAGGTGGGGGTTTTGTGGCTGAATGGTTAGCATGTGCATGTTGTACCACAAGGTCTGTCATTTAGTCAACTGGCGTGGTTTTGATTTCTCGGTTGTATGTGACAAGGAGTAGGGTCGTCTGTCCAACCTGATGAGTTTTCTCCGAGTCCTCCGGTTTCCTCCAACTGCTAAAGACCACTACGCGTAAGTGAGTTATTGAAATAAAATTGAACCATATGTTAGTCTCGAAATGACCTCGTTTTTGTCGAGTGGACGTTAAACCACATTTCTCTCACTCTCTCTCTAATTGAGGTAGAATGTTCAAACTTAGTGTAGGTGCCTATTAGGTGAATGCCTTGACGATGTTCGATCATGCTCATTTTCCCCTAAGGCTAAGCAGAGATAAGTAACTTGATTGTTTGAGGCTTTGGAACACGATAACTTTGTTTTTAATTGTGTGAGAGTGATGAATCGCAGAGTATAGATTCATTATATTAATACCTTGACTAAGTACGATGATGAGAAATTTTTTTTAGGCCGAGTAGTGATAAGCAATTTTATTGGTCAAGACATTGGAACATAACAACTCATGATCAGGTTTTAATTGAGGTAGAATGTTTAAACTTAGTGTAGATGTTCATTAGGTCAATGTCTTGACTCAGTTCAATGATTAACATTTTCCGATAAAGCTAAGCAATCATTGGTCGATCCTTTGGGACAAGATAACTTTGATTCCAACTTATGGAAAGAGATGAAACTTTAGAGTAGAGTTTCACTTAGGTACTTCAAAACCTTGACTGAGTTTAATCGTTAACATTTCTGCTTAGTATAGATAATCAGTTTGCTTAATACTTTTCAAAATGTGCAAGTAATTAATATGTGTCATCTATCTATTTTGGGATTGTGGTGGGGGACACCAACCTCACTGTTGGCTTGTTGAATTATTGATGCTATGATAGATGATGTGAAATATGTTTGAAAACAGGTGATGCAATCTTATTGATATAAATCAGTTATCGGTTTAAAAGACAAGATTGATTTATTTTATTATAGTGGCTCAGTTGAGTGGGTAACGCACTGACTCGTTATTCAGGAGGTCCCAGGTTTGGTTCTGGTGTTCCGTTCTGGTTTTCCCTTGTTGTGGCCTATTGACTGGCAAGAAATAGCATCTAGTCATTTAGATGGTATGAAAAACTGAGGTATCATGTACACATTGGCAGTTTCGCTAAGACTGTAGTCAACATAATACATGCCTCGACGACAGGGCGATTACCCTTATGAATCTGTCTTGGATGTTCTAGATTTCAAATTTACATGTTTTGTATTTCAGGCCCAAAACCCACCACATATTAATTACAACTGTGATGCTAATACATGGTGGACATTGGTCTTGTCTAGTCCAGATGGTCATTTAGAAAAAAATGATACAGAATGCTTACATTGGATGATGTAAGCAAATTTATTTCATATATTTTTAGTACAAAATTAAAATCTATTGGTTCAGTAGAATTACCTCCCTTGACCTGAATATGTCTGATATTTAGTTATTCAAATGTACATTTGTAGGATCAAATTCAAATGATCAATTATCGGATTATGTTTTTGGTCAATTTTCAGATTTCTAGAAAAAAATATGCTGTTCTTTAACTGTTTATTTATTTGAAGTTTAGTAGATATTACTGAATTAATATAAACTGATCAAGTTTTATTAGCTCTAATTGATAATGGACATGAAAACGAAAATAAATTAGTATAAATAGCCTTAGTATAAAATTCGAATGTTTATGTGTGTATTCTATTGAGGACAGTTGTCCTAGACCCGTGATTTATATAATATAGAAATGCAAGTAGTAAAAAAAATATTTTTTTTTTATTGATAGATTTATATCATACTATACAGATACTTCTTCTATTTTTTTGCATACAGAGGCAATATATCAGGCAATGATGTGAGCAGTGGAGAAGTCTTATGTGATTACTTGCCACCATTTCCCCCAAAAGGAACAGGGTTATTAAGATATGTGTTTGTTCTTTACGAACAGACTGGCAAAATAGATTATGCGAGTATGAAGAAAACAGCCAATTGGTGAGTATTTATACATACAAGTTCTGTTTGTCAATAAAGGAAATGATGTAAATCTTTGTAAATCAAAATGTAAAATTACAGGGAACTCGATCATCAATAAAATATCAAGTACAGATATTTTGAAAAGTGAGTGGTGGTAAGAATAAATGAGGGTATGCTGTGAAAACTGAATGTAGCTTATAACTTGCCAGACAAAAAAAGCACATCCCTACCCCAGCCCACCTTTTATATTTATCCCTATACTATAACGTGGCTCATTGACTAAGACTTGGCTCCCTAACCTGGAGGTACCATGCAGAATGGAGGGCATGGCAAGGGACAACATATAGTCATTTGGATGGTACAAAAAACTGAGATCCAGTGTACAAGTACAGATATTTTGAAAAGTGAGTGGTGGTAAGAATAAATGAGGGTATGCTGTGAAAACTGAATGTAGCTTATAACTTGCCAGACAAAAAAAGCACATCCCTACCCCAGCCCACCTTTTATATTTATCCCTATACTATAACGTGGCTCATTGACTAAGACTTGGCTCCCTAACCTGGAGGTACCATGCAGAATGGAGGGCATGGCAAGGGACAACATATAGTCATTTGGATGGTACAAAAAACTGAGATCCAGTGTACATATTGGAGTGCATGTAAAAGACCCTTTGACAGTTGGGATTTGATATAAGAGTTTCCCATAATATTTCCCTCATAGTACACTCTATGCGTATGCCTGTCTTCATTTGCCTGGTCGGAGCAGAATAGTAGGACGTTAAACCCCATTTCATTTCATTTCATTTTCATTTTGTATACTATAACATGTACTGTTTTTTTTCTAGTATTTCCTTATCAGAGAGAACTTTTAGTACAGTTGATTTTTATGGTGGGTGTCAGGATAAGCTAACACCAGCAGCTCTCTCATTCTTTCAAGCTGAATGGGATCCATGTGTACAAAAAGTTTTCAGAGAAATATTGGGTATTGTTTTTCAATTATTTTGTTATTGTTTTGTTATAGTTCTTTGGTTAAATATAAGTAAAATGATGATTAGAACTATAATTCAAACTATACTCTTCAAAAAAAGAAATGCATAGTGACATTTCGTCGTCGGTATACCATCGCTTTACAATCGCCAGCATTGCTGTGACCATACCCTGTGTGTCTGAACCCACTGAAGTCGGATTTGACGGTTGGCCTATTTCAAAACAACACCTTAAACGGGACGTCTGGCTCGTAATACGGTTTCACTTAGGTGTCTATGAACTGTCTGGTCTGAACTCCTACGCCGTCCAGGAATAGCTTCTGCAGTAGAGGTTGCTGTTGTGAACCGTTTCCGCAAATAACGTAACCAGATGTGACGTGATGATCCAGGGCAAGTGGGGTCACACTTGTTTGGCCTGAGCTTGGGTGGTCACATGTTGATTTCGCTGTCGGTACCTATTTTAAAGGCGAGAAATGGTACTGTGGGAAACATTCAGCAGCCTGGCTAGTGGCTACTTCTGTCTGGTATTCACCTGTTTGTAACCAACTGATAGCGTTGTTGCATTGGTCTTTGTTCAGATGTGGCATCACTTGACTTGTTGAGTGTTTACATGTGCTAACTGATTTTGAAACCGAGAACCCCAGGATGTTAAAGGCCTTAGATTTGGGTTTCATGCGAAAAGCTTGCAAAGTTGTTAAACTTATGTGTCTTGGTGCAATCAAGCGAAAACAAATTTCGTCAAAAGGTATGACCAGTCTCAATTAGTGACCCTACATTTAAAACCAATAATGAATTTCTTTTATCCTTACATAGTGACATAAAAAACAAGTAAGATTTATGGAAACAACGATCTCGTTCAAATAAAAAATGATGAAAAATGGGCTGTGCATTTCTTTTTTGAAGAGTATATAATTAGATGAGTTTTAACCCTCTGCAAAAGTGAATAATTAAAATAAAATAGTTTCGTGACATAGTTTGTGTTACACAAAACTATTTACAAACCATGGCTCAGTGGGTAAGAAGTTGGCTTGCTAGCCTCTAGTACGGAGTTTTCGGTCTCGCTCCTTTTGATTGCCTAGAAAATAAAAATGTCAAAAATACCGTCTTTAGACAAATCGAACATAATGTCTTCATTTTTATGTTATTTAAGATATTATGTTGCTTAATTATGAATAAATACTATTATAAACACCAAAATGTTGATTCCACGAAGTTAGCAAATACCGATCAAGAACTTTGTTTTATGTTTACGTCACATGACCTCTCGCTCACTTTTCCACCCGACCAATACCGTTAGAATTATCCCTGCTTCTGTTCAATTTCTTGACGAATTGTTTATACAGATGTTTTGATTTTCCAAAGGAATCGTTGAATTTCAGATTGAATTAAATTTTGATAAAGCAGAAATATAAATAATGCCAACTATATATTAAGAGTTCAGGCAGATTGATTATCATTCAGCGTCGGACGAGTCATGGCGGTCTGTAATCTGCCAAAAATGGAGATTTATGGACAATGGACAGTTTTTGACATAGTACATGTACTTTCGTTTTATAGTATAATTTAGTATTTTTGCATTGCATAATGCATTTTCAAGAAGTTATGCACTTGAATGAGAAAAAAACAATTTACCAGGATAAATGAATAGCATCCAATCGTACTTGTAGTTATAAAAAAACATGCACGGCTGAAAGAACACAAGCTTTTTTTAAATGTTGTTTTGTGCCTACTTCATGTAAATATTCTTAATTTAAATAAAATATCATGATTAATATACTGGAAATTAAAATTGTAATAAACAACATAGACCAATATTTTTAGCAAGCCTTCATGGCTATAGATAGATCTGTGTTTGAATCAGCTCATTAAATTTTGTTTGTAAATTCGGTACTGTAATTATGATAAAAACTTTTAATAATATTGACTAGACAGTGTCAAATGAATACTCGGGGTATTTCCAACATATTATGCATGTTTTTTTGCATGGAAAAAGTGATAAACTGAAATTATTGACATTTTATTAAATATCGCGATATTTTCATCAAAATATCATGTATCTGTTTCCAGGGATATCGCCCAGCTCTAGCGTTAAAGATAATTTCCCACGAAAGTATTTATCGTGTGGTGATTTCCAATAAAAAGTATGGCAAGTTTGGTATACATGTATATGGAAAGTAGAAACATCCAATCTTACTAGAAAAATACTGGATTTCCTGAAAAACAGCCATGGAGCGCAGACAGGATTAAACTGTACGAGATTCCCTAACTGACAACTCGACAATTAGGGATGTCTGCTCGAGTGACGTCAAAGGTCACACGTAAAGTTTGTCTCATCTCCCAACATTAGTGAGCGCTTGATGTATATTTTGATAAACTTGATGAACAGTTTCTGAGATAAAAACCACAGAAAAAGACTTGGGCAGTGGATAATCCGAGAATTTATTGGGCTTCGATATTTATGATAAATAATCAACGATTAAAGACAACATCATCTTGTATATGTAATGAATTCTCCTCGGGCTTCACACTCATTGCTAGGTACTGCGTCAGCCAAATCAGATGACACAAACATAGCTTCTTTTGATTTTTTATAGCAGGGGTATTCCCTGCCAAATACAATGTTTTGAGAAGGATTTGAAGCAAAATTATGATAGATTAATTAGTCTGAGTATGTTTTTAGTCCAAATATATCAAATCACCCAGTTTATACCGGGAATGTATCTTTAAGACATCAGTTGAAAATTTAGTCCTATTGTTTCTTAAAACCTATTATATTTAAGAAGCTATTAAATCAAAACTCATATAGTTTTATTATCTTATTATTTTATGAATTTATTTGGTATTTACAGGTATGAAGGAACCTGTTTTTGAATTTATTCATCCACCAAATTACCATCCTAATCAAACGAAATATCCACATAAACAACCATTTAATTTGTAAGTATATTCTTTATTCATTTTTATGCGCCCACATGGAAATGTGGTTGGGTCGTATATTGAATCGAAGAATCCTATTGAATTTCAGCAATTTCCATCAATTACTTATGCCCTTGTTTCACTTTGCTGAACCTTGTGAACACTCTACGATAAAACTAATCTTCTGATCTGTATGAAATTTATATGCATCATTTAAATTAGTAAAACGAAGAAGCCTACGATAAAAGTTATCTTCCGATCTGTATGAAATTTATATGCATCATTTAAATTAGTAAAACAAAGAATTTCCGTTAATTACTTATGGCCCGTGTTTCACTTTGTTGAACCTTGTGAACGCTCGCACGACAAAAGTTATCATCCGATCTGTATGGAAATTATAATTTATATGCATCGTTTAAATTAGTGAATCGAAGAATTCTATTGAATTTCAGCAATTTCCTTGTTTCTCTTTGTTGGACATTGTGAACGCTCGAATGACAGAAGTTATTATTCGATCTGTATGAAATTTATATGCATCATTAAAATAAGTAAATCGAAGAATCCTATTGAATTTCAGCAATTTCTGTCAATTACTTTGAGAGTTATGACCCTTGTTTTACTTAGTTGAACCTTGTGAACACTCGAACGACAAAATTTATTATTAGATCTGTATGAAATTTATATGCATTATTTAAATTAGTAAAACAAAATAGTCTGTTGACTTTCAACAATTTCTGTAAATTACTTCCAGAGTTAAGGCCCTTGTTTCAGTTTGTAGAACCTTTTTATTTCTCAAACGACGAAAATTACAAACTGATCTGTATGAAATTGGCTTGTAAATGCCCCCCATTACCTACAAAGAATAAATATGTAGCAACCCTTGTTGACAGCTCGGATGATTTACCAGCTGTGTGCGTGTTTCATTGCCTGTCAACCCATCTCTTTTTTTAATGATCTCGGCGAAACCACTGATATTTTAATTAGAAGATCTGGGAATATGTTCACTAGTCTATTGACACAATAATTGGGACTTCTTTTTCTTAATACATGTGCATTTATATATATATATTTGAATGTTTTATTGGGTACAGTAGACTATTGAATAAGAAAGCATTATTTATAACACTGAATTACCTCCCTTTAGCTTCTACTCCTATTATTTGTAATTTTTCTTTCTTCAGATATTTAGATAGATATAGAGATGTTAAAGAAATACAGGAAGAAGTTTTAAAAGAAAAATTGAAAAATGTTTCTCCTTTCCAACCACCATCTTCAGGTTCTGAGTATCCATTAGCAAAACTCAATGGTCTTTCAAAAAAGCCTTCATGGCAAAGACTTCAAAACAAACATGTTGCGTTAAAAAGACATCAGTGGAAAGATTTATAGTTCCCAAATGTTAATAGTGCTAGCAGCTGTGCGTGTGATATTAGAAATATGTCATTTGCGGAACAAATACAGTCCGTGTGTGTTTAAAATAAAATTAGAAATATTTCTTTTTTTTTAAATTGATTATAATAATATTGGTGTTGTCCATCTACAAGTTTGATTCAGGAATTGAATGTTTTGGGAACTGATTTTGGGTTTGCTGAGAAAGTCACTCAGGATTTCCAGTTTGGTTAACCCGTGTCAGTCATACAGGACATAGGGCCTGGCACAGATGGGATGGAAAACTGAGGTGTCATGTCGTTAACATTGGTATGCACGAAAAAAAGCCTAGGCAAAATTTCCCTTATAGCACACTGCATGGTGTATCAGCCGGTTGGTGCAGAAAAGTAGGATGTAAAATGAAAACCCTATTTCATTTCTTTTTAGAGATACAACTTTTAGAAAATTGTAGTCTGCAGGGAATCCCTCAAATGACATTCAGAGGCTTGGGAGTATTTAAAAGACACTAAAAACTGATCAGGGCGGTTTGATAGGCTTTTCTTACTAGAACTAACACAATTAAACAAACATGTACCGTATTCAGAGTTATCGATAATAGTTGAATGAAAATTAATAGCTCATGAACAAATTAAGATTGCCCAATAACGAAATATACGCTCACAGCAGCTAATTCGTCCGGGCAGTCAAGGGTTGACACATAATTTTTCTTGTCAGTAATAAAAACACATTTAAGTAATTATCAGAAATCATTAGAATTTGTTTTGATTGTTTGTCTCATGACATCAAACATTGTATATAAAATTATATAACTTTAGCTTCTAGAGTGTCCACAAGATTTTTCAAAGTGATCAAGGGCCATAACTCTGGTAGAGATTATCGGAAATCATTAAAAATCAATAGGTTTCTTTTTCTCTTGACCTTAAACACTGTATAAATTTAAAGTCAATTGGATATTAACTTTAGCCTCTAGAGTGTCAAGATATTTCAAAGATATCAAGGGCCATAACTCTGGCAGTAACTATCGGAAATGGCTGAAAATCAGTTGGCTTCTTCGTCTCATGACATTAAACACTGTGTCTAAATTGGATATTAACTTTAGCCACTAGAGCATAGGTTCCCAACCTTTTTTGGGTGGCGACCCAATTCCAGACCCAGGACCAGATCGCGACCCCTCGAAGAACAAAGTCACATTTTACAATGATAGACCGATGAAACAAATCGTGGCCATGAGAGTAAATCGATTAGCAATGTGGCAAGAGCTGTATAGATCACATGTTCCCGAAGCAACAGCCGCAGTTTTACAACTTCTATCCGTTGCCAGAATTGTCTGAAATTTCCGAACTTTTAGGTACGTTACTTCCCTTTACTGCAGATACGTGAACAATAACGTTGAAAATGAATAGAGAAGTTTACAGCCGTTAAAAGGTTTTTTTTTTTTCAGTTGATAAACTCACGGAAAAGCAATCGAAACTGTTTTAGAGACTAGAGAAGTATTTATTTGCATGAAAATTGGCAGAGGCAAGTCTCTTTGTTTTGGAAATTTCCAGCAACCTTGACATTGAACGAACCTTGAACTTTTTAACTTGATTATCACAGGTAGATATTTCAGTTGGAAAGCGCGAGACTTGTTATTCGCGATGATATTTTCTATCGAGGTATCTGAGAGGTCTAGAGCTGGGTCCTATACCAATCGAAATTAGTGACGAAAAATGTAGATTGTAGAGTGTTACGTGAAGGCCTTGATAAGATGTACGGAGTTAAAGCGGAAAAGCAATCAAAACTGTTTTAGAGACTAGAGAAGTATTTATTTGCATGAAAATTGGCAGCGGCAAGTCTCTTTGTTTTGGAAATTTCCAGCAACCTTGACATTGAACGAACCTTGAACTTTTTAACTCGATTATCACAGGTAGATATTTCAGTTGGAAAGCGCGAGACTTGGTATTTGCGATGATATTTTCTATCAAGGAATCTGAGAGGTCTAGAGCTGGGTCCTATACCAATCGAAATTAGTGACGAAAAATGTAGATTGTAGTGTGTTACGTGAAGGTCTTGATAACATGTACGGAGTTAAAGCGAGATCAACCCTTCTATTGAAGATGTATATATAGCTTACATGAAAAGATAGCATTTTTTAAAAAAGTTCTCAGTCGCGACCCAGAGGTTGGGAAACGCCGCACTAGAGTGTCCACAAGATAGTTCAAAGTGATCAAGGGCAATAACTCTTGCCAATAATTATCAGAAATTGCTGAAAATTGATAGGATTGTTCGGCTCATGGGCTTAAATACTGTCAATCGGATATAACTTTAGTTTCTATAGCATCTACAAGATATATCAAAGTGATTACTGGCCATAACTCTTGAAAATCATTAGGCTTCTTCATCTCTTGGCTAAAGTTATTATACGATTGACTTGAAATTTATACATAGTATTTATGACCATGAGACGAAGAAGTATTGATTTTCAGCGATTTCCAATAATTACTGCCAGAGTTATAGTCCTTGATCACTTTGAAACATACTGTGAGGGCTAAAGTTATCATCCAATTGACTTCAACTTTATACATATTGGTTAAGGTCATGAGACAAGGAAGCCTATTGATTGTCAACAATTTCCGATAATTACTGCCAGAGTTATGGCCCTTGATCACTCTCAAAAATCCAATTCATTTCAAATTCATACACATTGATTAAAGTTTGAGACGATGAAGCCCATTAATTTTCTACAAATTCAGATAATTACTGCTGGAGTTGTGGACTCTCTAAGAGACCAAATTTATCATCAAATTCGCTTTAAATTAATTCACAGTCTTTAAGGTCACGAGATGAAGCCAGTATTAATGAAAATTGTTCATAAAATGACTCTGTAGAGGAAACTACAGTCCAAGTATGATAAATCAGGTATACATTAATTCAATAGTAATAAATCTAGAATTATTTTTGCGACCCCCACCCACCCATAAAATCAAAGATAGGTTGCCAGGCAACGAAACATACGCCCACAGCAACTAAATCGTCCGGGCAGTCAACAAGGGTTGTCGCATATTTTTACTTTTTTCGGTAATGAAACATTTATAATACACTAAAATCTGATTAAGAGCAACAACTCACGAAGTAATTATCAGAAAACTATTAGAATTTGTTTAGTTTTTATAAAGTTCTGCCCCATGCTAACGTTTTGTATGCAAAGCTTTTAATATCATGGATTTAACTGTTTAAGTCATAAAAATTCATTGAAAATCAATATACTTGTTCGTCTCAAGATCTTAAACTCTGTGTATCAATCTGAAGTCAATCGGATTATAACTTTAGCCTTTAGAGCATCACAAGATTTTGCAAAGTGATCAAGGGCCATAACTTTGGCAGTGATTATCGGAAATCGTTGAAAATCAATAGGAATCTTCGTTTCATGACCTCAAACACTGTGTAAAAATTTAAACTCAATCGGATATTAACTTTAGCCTCTAGAGCATCCACAAGATTCTTTGAAGTGATCAAGGGCCATAACTCTGGCAGTAATTATCGGAAATCGCTGAAAATCAATAGGCTTCTTCGTCTCATGACCTTAAACACCGTGTATAAATTGAAAGTCAATCGGATATTAACTTTGGCCTCTAGAGCGTCCACAAGATTTTTCAAAGTGATCAAGGGCCATAACTCTAGGAGTAATTATCGTAAATCGCTGAAAATCAATAGGCTTTTTCGTCTTATGACCTTAAACACTGTGTATAAATTAAAAGTCAATCGAATATTAACTTTCGCTTCTAGAGCATCCACAAGATTTTTTGAAGTGATCAAGGGCCATAACTCTGGCAGTAATTATCAGAAATCACTGAAAACCAATAGGCTTCATCATCTTATGACCTTAAACACTGTGCATAAATTTAATGTCAATCGGATGTTAACTTTAGCCTCTAGAGCATCCACAAGATTTTTTGAAGTGATCAAGGGTCATAACTCTGGCAGTAATTATCGGAAATCGTTGAAAATCAATAGGTTTCTTCGTCTCATGACCTTAAACATTGTGTATAAATTTAAAGTCAATCGGATATTAACTTTGGCCTTTAGAGCATCCACAAGATTTTTTGAAGTGATCAAGGGCCATAACTCTGGCAGTAATTATCGGAAATCGCTTAAAATCAATAGGCTTCTTCGTCTCATGACCTTAAACACTGTGCATAAATTTAATGTCAATCGGATGTTAACTTTAGCCTCTAGAGCATCCACAAGATTTTTTGAAGTGATCAAGGGTCATAACTCTGGCAGTAATAATCGGAAATCGTTGAAAATCAATAGGTTTCTTCGTCTCAAGACCTTAAACACTGTGTATAAATTTAAAGTCAATCAGATATTAACTTTAGCCTCTAGAGCGTCCACAAGCAATTGTGGACGCCTGACCGATGGACAGACGGGGGCGACGACAATATACGACCACATTTCAATGTGGGCGTATAAAAACCATTAAGAACATTTATACCCCAATACCAACAGTTCTTGAAACCAAATCATGTATACTTTAATTCAACAGTAATAAATCTAAAATTATTATTGCGATATAAAACTTCAAAATCAAAGATAAGTTGCCAGGCAACGAAACATACACCCACAGCAGCTAAATTGTCCGAGCAGTCCAGGGTTGTCGCATATTAAATATTTTGTAGGTAATGACTATGAGGGACATTTACAAGACAATTTCATACAGATCAGATTATAGTCTCGTCCTTTGAGGGTTTACAAGGTGCTACAAACTGAAACAAGGGCCTTAACTCCGGAAGTAATATAAAAAATCAGATGATGACTTATCGATGGAGCATTCACAAAGTGCAACAACATGAAACATGGGGCATAACTCTCAAAGTAATTGACAGAAATTGCTGAAATAAGTCCAGCAGAAATTGCTGAAATTCAATGGGATTATTTGTTACACTAATTTAAATGATGCATATAAATTTCATACAGATCAGATGATAACTTTCGTCATTCGGGCGTTCACAAGGTTCAATAAAGTGAAACAAGGGCCAGAACTCCTATACGTAATTAATGAAAATTGCTGAAATTCAAACGGCTTCTTTCGTCATTCGAGCATTCACGAGGGCCATAACTCTAGA